TCATCTTCAGGTGGTGTTCTGCACTGGCAGAGTTTCATAGTGAAGCATAATAGGTTTTTGGCAGGGTGGAGGAACATTATTTCTGTAGATGCAGTTTTGGTCTCTGGCAAAAACTGTCAAAGAGAATTTCTGAGCCTGTAAATAGGTTTTGAAGGAACCTTTTAGATTGTCAAGCTGACAGTAAACAATGAAGTTTTCTGTGTGTCATAGGATAATAAATCTAAATATGATATAAACACAGCAAAGTGTACATCTTCTTACACCTTCCTGGGTTGAGAGCTTATGTCAGGGAGCTCATATAAAATAAGTATATGATTAAATTGAGAATAACTGTAAATTTAAGTACTGAGTAGTTCGAAACAAAAGTAAAATTGCATGGCAACATGAGATTTCTGCAGTTAAGTTTTATTCAGGCACTTCTGAATTCATTGCTATGTTTCTGTATTTTTTTTGTATTTTTTTTTGTTTCAGTAAGCAGCAGAATCTTCTTACAATAAAATGACTGGAGTTTACTCTGTTTCCATTTCAATCCATCTCTCTGTAGTAACAGTACCTTTTAGATAGGATTTCACTGTCTCTGTCCCTGGGGTCACTGAAGCAAACATAAAATGTTTCTTCAGGGGTATTAAAATATTTATAAGAACACTAAAACAAGAATAGTGTTTGAAATGCAATGAATGTGCCATTCATGGGACCAGTACCCATAAATTTTAAAAAGAAAGTTATAACTGGAATCTTGATCTTATTAAAATGAATAGGATTTGAGTAATGTTTTCTGTGGAAACAGGATTTCAACCACCTAGGACCACCATGAAAGCTGTTGTGCTATATACATGCTATTTTAGAACATGCTTTAAAATCTCTACTTCCTGATGTTGATCTGTGCAACAAACCTTATATTAAAAAAATCTTTTTAGAAGGATTGATCATTTGCTTACTTTGATAATTTAAGATTTAGGAAAGCCATTACTGGCAATGAATATCTTATAAAATATGTCAAGAGGGTTTTATCAGACATGATGTTTGTACAAGAAATTAACTGTTACAAAGAGTAAAGATCTGTTTTGTTTAAATAGTTATCTGCTTTAGCTATTGTTTCCTAATGTGAACTATCAATTAGAGAACTTTTATCTTCATGATTTGATAGATGAATTTCACTATCACTTCCAGTTTGTTTTGGGTTTATGTGTTTGGCTTCTTACAGTGAAAATTGAACTGATCAGAGAAAGTAATTTTCACTTCCAGTGCAATATATAGCACGCAGAAAAACAAACTGTGGTACCTCTTTAAGATGCTATAGTACTGTTTCATACATCTTTGGCTTGTCACATAGCAGAATGCTTCTTCAAAGGAGAAAGCTCCCTTTGAATCTCAGGAGACTGAGTTCTGAATTTAATTCCTGGAGTGAACAGGCTCCTTAAGCATTTCTTGTAAGGTCTCTAAAGCAAAGAGGGTAGGTTGTAACAGCAGAGATAATTATCTAAAAAAACCTCAAAAAAACTTTAGTCTTTCATCTGTGGTTTAAAAAAAATAATAATTCACAGTTTGATTCCATTAGAACAAGAATTTCTAAGCTAACACCTCCTATTGCTAGAAACTAATAACTTGTGCATGATTAACCTTTTGCTTTTTACTGCCCCTACAGTAGAAATTGTATTAACACCCAGATCCCATTTCTGTGGCTTGCTTCACTGCTATCAGTTATGATAACTCATAGATACTGAGTGATTTAATGTGAAGTTTTGCATTTTAGTTATTTTACATGAAAAATAAAGTAATATTCTCTATTTCTCCCCGTCTTTTTGGTGTTATGACATGAATTTGTACATATCGTTGGCCACTGGCTCTTCAGTTGAAAATAAATGAAAGAGGAAAAATAAAGTTCATCCTTTTCTAAAATATGTTTTTAAAATTAAATCAGTGTTTGATTCACTTTTACTGAGATACTCAACCAAACAGATTGATATTTTTAAAAGACAATCCCTTCCATAAACAAGCAGGCAATTCTTTCTAAGAAAGCAGCTCTTACAACTCCCAGAAGTCATCATCTGACAGATTTTTCTCTTGCTCTTATTCTATGCCCAAGGCAGACTTTTTTAGAGGCTAATAAGCTCTGTTTTTTCCCCTCTTTCCTATAATAATGCTTTGTATTATCTCAGTACAAGTTTTTAAGCAAGCTTCTTAAGCAAGAAAGGCTACAGATAGTTTCATCCCTATTACAAATCAGAAAATAAAAAAGATATTAAATAGGAATTGTATTGCTCATAGTAAGGCAGATATTTTTCCTCCATTTGGTGGTAAGCACAGAACAGGAAGATTCCCGAATCTAGGTGGAGCACAATCTTAAAAACACAGTTACCACAGTTCAGTTACATAACTAATATAAAAAATTTACTTCTCCATTAAATTGTTATGCATGTACTATGCTGAGAGACGTATGAAATTTATTATATATGATTTAGTTCAAAAATTCAAAAAAGAGTCTCAGAAAAAGGCTTCAGACTTACCTGGTTTTGGCAAATTCAGAGAATATAAGCTAGGAGCCTGGTTTCACCTTTAAAATAGTTCTAGAACATAGTAAACAGAGAATTTAAAGACCATTCTGAGAACACACAGAGAGTCTTGTTTCTTATTTCTTGCCCTTGTTTTAGAGAAATTGAGTACATTTTAGCTTGATAATAAATTAAGATCAGACATAATATTTTATTTGGTAATTCACAGCCCTGAGAAGAATCTACGTTTCCAAGAAATTTTCCAAGTAATTATTAGTAAATGAGTGCCTGGGGTTGAACCAGATGTTGTCTCATTAGCTTTAACAATGTATTTTGAAGAGAAATAAAAAAAGAAAACAGTAAAGGAGTAATAATGAAAAGTAAATAGGAGTATGTGCAGAACAGGATTTACTTAAATTGATTATTTTCACTCCAATAGATGGAATGGCATAGAATTTCCATTATATGAAGCAACTGACACACAGATAAGTCTACTGTAATAGTCAAGGTTGTATAATTATAGACTTTGCTATCACTGTCTATGTTTTATCAGTTGGTTTTCTAGTAAGTGTTTTTTTGGGAAAAGTTGGAAAGGAAAACAGCCATTATCTGCCTGAACACATTTTCAAAATCTTTAAACATAAACTAGACACATCAGTTTCCTTTTTAAACTAGTTGGATGTTAAGAGAAAATTTAAAATGGTTCATCATTTGCAAACGGGGTAAATCTTAAGTGTTGAGTTCTAAATGAAGAAAATTATAGAAAGCAAATACCCAAAATATTAAACAGAATACTTCTATTCTTTGCTTCGCTTTAATGTTTACTTTCCTGCATCCTTCTGAAAATTATTTTTAGTACTATAAATTCTCCAGCTGTTAAAACCACTGCTGAAAGATTCATATACCCAGGGACAACCAGGAAAATGAATCTGAATTTAATTTTAAATTGGATTAATTAAACTACTTTAAAGCCCTGTGTAAATATACTTCCTCAGAATTAAAATGGCTTTTATTTAATATTCTTTGGAAATGAGTTAGAGCAAATCAAATTAAGGTCTTTTTAAATTGCTTGATAATGTCCAACCAATAACTTCAAAGAAATGAAACTAAGTCACCTAAAATTCAAACCTTTTGTTGTTTTGGATTGCTTTTCCTGATCAGGTCCACATGGACAGGCCACCTCTCTAACAATTTTTACTGCCATTTACAACCATTTTGAGTCTGATCTTATTTAGTTTCCACAATTAAAATCTGTATGTGTATTAGGCTTTTTCCTTTATCACCTGATGTGAGAGATCGTACATTAAAAAAGAAATACAAAATGCCTTCCATTTTCCCCTTATTTACTCTTGAAGGTTTAATTTTAAGCAGATTGTGGACCCGCTTATTCAGCTTTCAAAAATAGCTCTTATTTCTTGTTCTCAGAGTCAATGTTTTTCTGTGGTAAGCAGCTAAAAAAATGTTAGTGTGCTGATTTTTTTTTCCAGCAATGTGTTTAGGTTTATCAGCATTTCCAAAGCCACCAAATCTTGAGGCTATTTGGATTCAACTTTTAGAGGTTGACTTATCTTTGACATTTAACAATGTAGCATCTTTATATCCTTTTCACAGCATAAAATTAAAAGCTATTTTGTTATTGATGAATGTATCTGCGAGTCCTCTCAGGTTAGCAGCAGAGTAGTAATTCAGCCTGCTTATGTACTTACAGCAGCTGGGTGTGCCAGCATAGTTACCAGCCCTGAAGGCAAGTAGAGTTCAATGCCTCCTACAAGCAGATTGCTCTGCTCTTGAGGTTCATGGCTAAGAAAAGAAAATGGGTAGCCTTTGAAGAACACATGTTGCAAAGCATATAATATAATGCATTTCTTATTAACAGAGGTAAGCACCCTAGTTTGTTCTGAATGATGAATTCCCCTGTATGTAGACTGCAAATACGTCAAAATAGAGTGAAAAAATAACAATATATTGTCTCATTAGTTCAATGCAAAAAGGATCTACCAGTGAGATTCTGTGGCAGCCGTGGATAATGAAATGTTTTTATTAAGACACAGATATTAAATGCAAAAGCAAGCAAAGCCTATAGTATTTCATTCTAATTTTTGCATCATGATTGACAGTGGAAAAAACAACCCTTTTGTCTCTTAACTATGAAGTAGACATGCGAGAGGGGGAGAGACATGCTTCACAAAACATGCAGCTGTCTGTACTTCAGATGTGGTGCTTTGCATCAGTCGTCGGCCCAAAAGTGACAGGAATGTGAAGTAAGCTTGCAGTTCTGGAAGCATAACTGCTTGATCTTCAGAGACATCATGTTCGTGCTCCATCACTCACTTTGACCTGATTGTGAATTGATTATCAGACCAAACTCATAATTTAAATAAGGACAGAAACAGACAAAGGCAGTCAGAAATGCATTTCTTACATCTCTGTTGTTTCTTTTTCACAATGGAGCATCTCTCAGTTAAGTTCTGCCTTATCACTGGTTTTGTTTTTCCCTCTTTTACTGCAGTTTATTATGCTGACATACGTCTTTATGTTGGCCTGGCTTGGCGTTACAGCTTTCACTTCTCTGCCTGTTTACATGTACTTCAATTTGTGGACCATTTGCCGAAATGCCACTGTAGTGGATGGAGCTAATCTCTGCTTGGATCTTCGCCAGTATGGTACGTGAATGAAGAGCACTAAGTATAAAGCAAGTTTTCACAAAAAAAAGCATCACATTGGTTTGCTTCCATGTATCTGAAATGAGCTGCTTCAGTGTTTCTGAAAAAAAAATATAAGAATATCTTTCTATCCTTTTACCCAGCACTCGAGGCAGTTTATTAGATATGCACTGCATTTCCAAGCCTGATAGAATTGAATCAACATTCTCCATCATCCGAGAGTACTGAATATTTGGCTTGGGTCATCTGTTTAGTCTATTCTTTTGAAATTGCTGGAATTTGTTTAAAATGCTTAATAGTCTTAATTTATCTTGAGAATCACTCTTTAATCTTGTGGTAGGAGACTGATTTGGAGATAGGAGATCCTAGGTTATCATTTGCCTCTGCAGAGCCTAGAAGTGAATTGGGACAGGACAAGATATATCACTTGCAAAAATTTTGATGAAGAGTGATGATACAAATAAAAAATCTCTATAAGGCTGGTGGAGAGAGCAGGCTTAAGTCTGAACTGTGGAGGTTAGAATAAAGTGGAAATCTACACATACATGTGTTCTGGGGGGATGGAAAATTTTAAAAAAAAGGGGTTTGGAATCTTAAAAAGTCTCAGGATTCTTGCGTTGATGATAGTTATTCAATTCCTTTCTGCCATAAGACTTTTGAATCTAGATGTTCTGGCCTTGGTGGTTTCTCAGCCCACAGAGCTTTGGGTAATCGTACTATTGTCAGACAGTTCCTTGATTCTTTTGTTACCTTGGTCTAATGTAAAATCACACTATATGTTTAATTCCTATTTTGAGATATAAAAAATACTGTATTGCTTGGGAATGAAACAGTATGGTTCATATTAAGCATTTCACCTAACCTGAAACAAAATATTGCACATTATTGTTTTCATGATGGGGAAAAAAAACCCCACAACTAATTTTTTCCCATCAGCATGACAGGTGAGTTGAAAAAAGCAATTATCTATACAGATCTTATCAAGGGTATTCATTCTTCTTTCTATGTCCTATTATTTTTCTAGTATTTATACCTATTTTTTATTATTCTATTTAAACTGTTAATAGAACACTAAAATATAATGTGTATTCTGTGAATGTACCTGTTTCCTGAAAATTTGGTGTAAAAACTGCTGATTACTAATAGAAAAGAACAGTACTATTTCTCACGATAACCAAGTTATAGCAGTTTTCTTCAAGCTAGTCTTTAATTTACTATCCAGACATTAGCCGAAGGAAACAACATAGCAGATTTTAGTTATTCTTGCTGATAGAGAAATTATTATTACAATAAAGTATACATTTGAGCAATGCTTTTTCATATCTTGTGAAAGCAGCTTTGTACCAAATCAACATGTCTGATAACATTATGTAACACCTTTCTTCACATGAAGGTAGAGGATGTTTGTGAAAAATGTGGCAAGTGTATGTATATGTGTATATATATATATATTGCAAATAATTTTCTGGTGTTTTGATTACTGTGCTGATCAAATCTGAAATGAAGATATTAAAAAATAGCTGCAGAATTATTGCCTGTATGTTTCCCACAGGGGCTTTTACTAAATGATGATGTGTTAGTTTTGTGATGGCTGAAATTATCATAGAATCATAGGTTGCTTTGTGTTGGAAGGGACCTTTATGATCATCCCCCTGCCTTCCACTGCTCAAAGCCTGGCCTTGAACACTTCCAGGGAGGGGCCATCCCCAACTTCTCTGGGCAACCTGTTCTAACCTAAATCTACTCTCAGTTTAAAATGGTTACTCTTAGTCCTGTCACTACATCCCCTGATAAAAAGTCCCTCTCCATCTTTCCTATAGGCCCTCTTCAAGTACTGGAAGGCTGCCATAAAGTCTCCTCAGAGGCTTCTTGTCTCTAGGCTAAACAATTCCAACTCTCACAGCTTGTCCTCATACAGGAGGTGTTCCAGCCCCCTGATCATCAACACAAACCTGATTTTGTTGTTAAAATAGTTCTGCAATGCAGCCAAGAGTTTGTATTTCTTAGCTTTTCTGGCTCGTATGAAGTAAACTGCTATGTACTAGGAATACTAAATACGATAAATATTTATTCTGCTCCAGGTATTGTAACTATTGGAGAGGAAAAGAAGGTTTGCACCACATCAGAAAGTTTCATCAAGATGTGTGACTCTAATGAGGTGAATAAATGTGTTTGGTTTTGGGTTGTTTTTTGCAAATCCATAATGTGTGTTATAGTAGGAAGTAACTGATGTGTGTTTTCCTCTTACTCTTAATGTTCTAGTTCTAGCTGTGGTGATGAAATAAAATCCCAGTGAAAAATACAGTCAGCAAGTAGTTTTCCTAGTCTTTTACATACCAAATTTAGTCCAGCCATTTGTTTTCTAAATAACTTGCATGTTATTTTTTTGTTAAGAATTTCATTATCACGTATATTTTTACTGAGAGATTTCTGAAAGCTAATGCACCTACTGCACAATGAATAGGTCCGTACAGTGAATCACTGTTTGAGGATCTTATGATTACAGTAGTGACAAGAGAGTAAAGATTTCAAATGAATTTGACCAAATCTTGCAGTGTGTTAGGATAATAACTCCTAGTATGTTTTTATTTGTAGTTTTTCCCTTAGGTAAAGGCCACCTATTTCGGTGCAGCTGAGGTTTTTGGTTTTGTTTTTAAATGATCAGGGATGGAGACAGGACAAATAAAATGACATCTATCTAAATCAAAGAGAAAGGCTAAAATCTTAGTCCCTCTGAAGTCAAAGGACACTTTGCTAAATGTTTCACTGTGCCTTACTATGTTTGAATAAATCTTTGTGGAGTGAAGGTGCACAATCTACCTTTATACCAAAACTATCTAAGAAAATGCAACCCTTGCTGTGCAGTAAATACTCAATGGCTGCTGTCTAAACCAGATCACTGAAATTAAAACCAAATGTAATCATTTGGTTTGAGGTTGGCTGAAGAAGGTGTTTAAGTTGGATTATTTAAGTAACCTGGTTTATATTATATCACTATGAACAAATTTATTGTCAAATTTGGGAGGGAAATAAATCAATTATGAGGATGGAAAGCTAAAGCTAATGAAGGGAAATGGGTATTTCTTAGGCTGTCTCTGCCACAAGAAAAACCACCACAGCCATTTGTGGATCTAGTAAGGTAGTATTGTAACTGTAAAAACAAAACAACAACAACAACGTCAACAAAACAACCAAAAGTTTCAGACTGTTTATTTTTAAATAATTGGTTTTTTCCATATTTCATAATTTAAATATGCTATTTTAAAATAGAATTATGCTTTATCTTTGATATGAGTATTGTAACAAAACAGGATCAAGCACAATGTCCTATCATGCTCCGTCTTTTGGAAGAAGTATTAGTAGTTATTACTTTTGCAGAAGGGTGGCACCAGGGAGGTAGTTATCTGCTCTTCATTATTCAGATTTTTTTTTCAGTTTCTGTTTAGTGCATCACCATGAAAGTCCCTTTCTTTGTCGCTCTTTGCAGCTAAACATGACATTCCACTTGTTCATTGTGGCACTTGCTGGAGCTGGAGCAGCGGTCATTGCTATGGTAAGCTACTCAACACTCTCTACTTCCATCATCAAATGAATTGCTAATACATTCTGGTTATTACTTAGTATCAATTATTCAATTTCCATACTATCACACAATGCTATTACTGAAATACAATTCTGTAATTCAATACTGTCTCTTATATATATTTTTTAATATATTGGTGGATTCCCTTTGAAGTAGAATATCATTATTGCTTTTTTGAATTAAAGAAGCACCTTTGAGAACATCCTAAGAATTTTTACTATTCTCTTACTCTGTTCAGACAAGTCTCTCAACTCAAAAAAGTGTATGAGCTAGTACCCTGCTCTTCTACCTTTTATCTGCTGCATTTGCTTAAACATAAAGATATTTTTAGAATGAGGATTCTGTTTGTATGGTGTACACTGCAATAGAGAATGCAAAGTTACTTGGTATTGATGCATTCCATAAGAAGAGTCTTAGTGATGGTGTTTACTATTGCTACTGCTACTAGAATCCTAGAGCTATACATTTTTCATTCTCCTTTGAATTACATTTATCAAAAAGGACACTTGGAGAATATTCAATGAAGTTAGTGTTCCTGTTGTGTTAGTGATTTTTTTTGTTCTTCTCTGCCATTTTTTCAGTATTACATGACACCCTGCCAAGACAGCAGATAGCTACATGAAAAACATATCTTTTCCATGCAATTTTTGATTCAAGACCAAAAATAATAAGTATTATAGTATGATATAATAATGTAATTGATTTTCCAAACTGACACTTTTCTACTTCCCTCTGAAAAAAATAGTGACCAAGTAGTACTTATTATAATGTATTTATTAGTGTTAAGAAAGTATATCCAACAGACCATTAGTTCTCCAGTGCATTATTGTTTTGAAGCATACTCAGTAGTAGTTATCAAATGCTAGTTTGTTCAAATAACAATTCTACATTTCGAAGGATTTTCAGTGAAAACAAACACATCTTCAGTGGAAGCAAATTAAGTAGTTACAATGAGCCACGTAGTTTAAATACATGACACTTTCAATGAAGTTTAAAAAAACCCCTTCAAAGCTCACAGTTCCATATCAAAGATACCATAGATTTGTTCTACCAGTCTTTAATCCACTAGTAATTCACTTTGATGGCTCACGTTTATTCACATCGTTTTGCAGGGTTGCTCATACCCAAGTATGCTTTTTACTGGATTCTGTGACTGCACTGAGCAGGCATGATAACACTCTGTTTCAACAGAAATGCAAGTTAAGGATCTAAATGAGAGTAAATTGTGTAGTGTCCAAATGCTGATAAATGTATGCTTTATGAAGTGTTTGCAACTGTGTTGTCTATATGTCAATTTTGTAATTTTTTTTTTTTAACCTACCATTGTTATCTTAGGTTCCTGGTGAAGTCTAGCACCTTCCACTCTTTGATGGTGGTAATTTTTAAAACAAGCATACTAGACTCAATTTATAGGTTGAGCATTGTGCTTCACACTTGACACAGTAGCCCAAAGACTGAGGACAGGACATGAGGGAAAGTTCAGAATTTTGTGCTTGGACTAGCAAATATTGATAGATTTTCTTTCACTGAGGGAAGCTTGTTTTCCCAAGGAAGAAGTAATTTAGGGGAGGGAAATAAATTCCAAGTCCTAAATGTCTCATACAGAAAGAAGAAAGCATCTTTTTTCCCCAGATCCCATGCTCAAAGTGGTAGAAGGTGGTAAGGTAAGCAATAGACTAGTGTGATAAACGAAGTCTACAGAAGCCATTTAAGTCACTGGAATACAAATGCCCTTCCCTACAAGTGCTTTTGCAAGAATAATAACAAATATGATTTAATGAAGTTAGTGTTTGTATATTTCCACAACAGTAGCAGATCTCCATGTCTGTGAAATCTAACAAGCCATATTAAAAGAAAAATGAGATTAAAATATTTGTCCTTTACAAAAGAGAAAGCTTATGAGTTTATTTCATTTTAAAAATATTTCTTGCAAACAGTTGCTTTAAACTAGAATAGTCCATCTGACTAAGGCAGTACTTTGCATTTGTTACTAGACTGTAATAATTGTGCATTATCAATGAAACTGCTGAATAATTAAATTGATAAAATCTGCTTTTTAAAATGACATTTTAAGTCATGACATTGATGTACTCTGTTATATCCTCACTTCTGGATTTGTGAACATTTGCAAGAGCCAGATTATTTAATATGCACAGGTTTGTTAAACTCTTATAATGTCATTATTTGTCATTAAATCCACCAAAGAAATCAGCTTGTTCATAAATACTAGGACTACCTGTCCTAATATATAATACTAATATAATGTCCTAATATAATACTTTTTATTAACCTGTATTTTAAAAAACATCTTTGAAAAAATAGCAATTTATTGAATAAAAAACAAATCCAAACACAAAAACTAGTTGTTAATAGTTGCAAAACCATTTGGTCACAGGTCATAATTTTCCCATAGCTGCTACTTTAATCTCTCTTTGTCTTAGATTTGTCTATGAATGTTAGAATTTTTTCACAATTCACTGGCTGCCTCTTTAGTCTCCAAAGGAGAATGCTGTTTTGGCATTCAGAAAGAGAATTTGCCTATGGTTTAGGATTGATGTATAGAAAAACACATGTACTTTTCAGATTATATGTCAGGGAAAGCTTTATTTTGCAGAGAAGGAAAAAGTCAAATAGTTTGTATTAAAAATGTATCATTCTTAGACTTCAGTCCAAGGTGAAAAAAACCTGATAGAATTATTTACGTTGTAGATGCTTTTTGTGAGTCTTAAACACAGAAAAAATAGCCAGAATTTTGAATAATACTTAATTTGGACTATGTATGATTCTGAACATTACTGTTCTTTCTTACATCTGAATGGATAATAAATGGATGCAGAAATGATCATTGAAGTAATAAGTATTAGTTTTACTGTTTCCAATGTTGTGTCAGATAGAAACAGAAGACATAAAGCTGTTTAAGTGTAAACTGTACCATCTCAAAGGGTTGATTGTAAGGCTTGTACGTATCCTACCTGTGACATTTTCCCAAAATTGCTACAGCAAAACTGAATTGTGAGATGCACAGTTGCCCTTCTCAAAAGTTACCATGTGAGCAGCACTCTTCTTTCACTGAAACTGTGTCCTGTAAAATGGAGATGCAGTCAACTCCCCTGAAACAAGGAAAAGGGGAGTGTATAAGTGGTCTAATTCCTCTCCCCCAGTATGACTGTGCTCTTCTGCAGGATATTAGATGCACGTAAGGGGAGGAAAAGAAGTTATGTAGACATCTGTCCTGATGAGATAATGACATGTCTCAAAAGGAAAGGAAAACCAAAACCTTTCTTATCCTAGATGCAATTCTCCAGTTTTGAAAGGTTGAAGCATACTTTCATGTTATGAAGAAATATAAGCAGGAATGTTTCATAGAGCATGGAAAGACCCTGCACTGTCTTGCATATGTTTGTAATTGAAACATCCTAAGGCAGACTGTGGAAGCTGCCCTGCTTCAATTTGAACAAGCCTTGACAGGACCCCCCTGACTTCAGGCCATTCAGGTCATGGAAGTGTGAAATGCAATTAGACAGCCACTTAGAGATTACCTCCTTAGTATGACAATGTTATCTAGGAACTTGGTGTTGAACGAAAAAAACAAAGGTGGTGGAACTGATAAAGATAAATGCCATGATATAACATGGATATTTATTTGATATTATATAAATTACATAAACTGCTTGTTTCCAGGAAAGTCATCTTACTTACAGTGAATGTGAAGTCTAAGAGTTTACAACGGTTATTCCAGAGATTTTGTTCTGTAATGTTTTAAGGAAGGGATGGGTGTGGGATGGGATTTTAATGAAGGTCCGACTGTGGACAATGTACCTTTAGAATACTTTGTCTATTTTTAAGTAACAAATAAATGTTAAGTGAAACTGCAAGACATTAGGTTTAAATTTGCCTTTTACTGGGTCACTAGCAAATATTTTGTAAAGATAAAAAATGTGCCTACACGGTCCCATTTTCATCACTTATTGTTCAGTCGGAAGGTTTTCTGGCACATGTGTTTTGAAAGATCAGGAAGATGTAAGTGCACTGCTAAGATGCCCCTCCTCCTCACACACACTTCTAGGATTCTTGTGTTTACAATCTGAAGTTCAAATTGCATTTTTTTAAATTGAAATCTTACCCTCAAAGGACCAGCAATTGTGTGTTCATTGGATGCAAATTATAATTGTCTGAGATGACAGAATTATTAGGATTACCAGCCTGTTTCTTTTGATTTACTCGAGTTTTGCTGTGGAGGAAATTGAAGACATTTCATTCAGCAGAATGGGGAATCAGAATTGAGATATCTCATTTGATCTCGAAATTCCTGATCCAGAGACTAGTCATGGTGAAAGCTTTTAGAACAACTCTGTTAGACACAAGACATTTCTTTTTCTTGTGTGCTAAATTAAGATCAGAAAGTGTCCCAAAGTAACACAGTACATACTGCCATCTCCAGCACCTGCACTATCATCACAGGTTGTGCTGCTAAGATTGTACTATAGATATTAAGAAACTCATAATAATATGTAGAAATGCTACTACCTGTAGTAATTAGCCTAGAGGACAGATTCTCTGAACACTTCTTGTTTTATGGCACCTCAACTCAGACTGTATTCCTCAAATAGGGAGTAAATGGGTGAAAGCTTGCCATAAACAACCAAGACAAAAGGACACCAAAATTATTTGGTCCTTTGAAGATTTTCAGGATGCTTTCTTTAATCTTAATTATTCAAATTAAGAAATATATATTAGCCTGCACTAATCAGCAACTATTTCCACTAAACATTTGTGGAAAAAGCCAACATTGGCATTTCAAAAAAAAAAAAAGAGCGTACTATATTGTTTCTGTTCATTTAGTATGAATCTAAGATACTCATATATCTACAATAGTCCAGTGTGAACAGAAGAATTTGCATAATTTTGTAGCATTTTTAAGATTACTCTGTTTTCCACTAATTGAATCCTACTTTAGTTTCTCAGTTTCTTAGGGAGGGGTTGAAGTTATCTGTGGCCTCTGAGGCAGTTGATTAACGTAAATATAAGAGATGCTCTCAACAGAAAGTATTTGAAAACCTACTGTGGGAGGAATAAGTGTTCAGAGAGTCACAGAATAAACTGGTTGAATACTGTGAGTGAACATTTTTATTTTCTGAATGAATACAGAGCCAACAGAGCACATCCTAAGGTGAGAGGGCAACAAGTTTTGAAAAAGTCAGAGGCTCATTTCAAGCAGATCTAGCAGACTGAAGGTAGGACATTTGAGGTTCACCTTCAAAAGGAAAGCTTTCAAAAAGTCTGCAAATGTCCTGAAAGGCCCAGACCAGGGAAGCTGGAGTGGACAGGAGATCAGTTGATTGCTCTAACATGCAACTGAAGTAGACTTTATACTGTAGATGATCACAGGTGTGTAGACTAAAAGAACTGACTCTGAAAGGTACTGATTGCAGATAGCATGTAACTGCCCCTGAATGAGAAGTTTTGAATAAAGTATTTTTGGCTGCAGTTCCTTGGAGGCCTCAGCTTCATTTCTTGTACTGGTGCTGTGTTAAAATTTGTCACTTTTTTGATCATTCATTGCCATCATTCAAAAGATTGGACATCTACTCATTGTCAAGTTCAGTCACTGGCAGCCATACCATGTGATTTTTATAAACTACTAAGCTCCATCTCAAGTGCTATTAGGGTGTTTTATCCTCCATTTATAATGGAAAACAGTTACAGAACCTAATTTTTCTACTAGTAAGATATCTTTCACTGACTTTCGGATTATATTTATTTAAAGCGATGTGAAAAATATTTGTTCACGTGACAATATTGCCAATATCCTTTAAGTGGTGTTTACTCCTCAGATGTATTCATAGACATTTTGTCCTCCCCATTTACTTACATAAATAAACCCAGCTCTTTGGGAGTATATCATCATAGCTCATTCATGTTGACTGCAAGTGAGTCAGGTCCAATCTTCAATGCTCACCAGTAAGTTGTATAATATTCACAGGTTGTGGGAGAGTTTCCCTTTCGATTCAGATAATTTTTTATTTTATTTTTGGATGGAACACTTGGAAAGCTCTTAATTTTGTTTTCTTTAATAAATAAAAGTATTTTTACATAGTATTTTTACATATTCAAAAATTTATATGGAACGTGCATGTTTTCTGCTCCATTCAAGATGTCTACAGAAGCTGTTTTTTAAAAATCATAAAAATATTTGGGTTTTTTTCCTATGCATTTTAAAGTATTACATAAATGAACTATGAAAAAACCTAATATAACAGTGAAATAAAATTAGTTTATTTGTAACTATATTTTGTTATATTTTGCCTAGATGATCGTATTAGTCAATTTTTGACAAAATTTTCCCAAATTAGCTGGTTTAGACAAAATAGCTGGAGTTGTAGATGAAAGAAAAATAATTGCTAAATGGAAGCTAATTTTAACTTTAACAAGAAAGAAGCAGCAATTTTTTCTGTACTTGTATTAGAGATGTAATCATAAGGCTACAGATTTGTCTACAGCATATTTCTATCTGAAGCAACTACTTTAACGAATTGTGATTAAATGGGGAAAAGTCTTCAAGAAATCACCAGAAGGCATTTTTCCACATAAATTTGCAGACTAGCTGTATAAAGCAGGGATCATGAGTTTATTTCTCAGTTCTTTTAATTTTTTTAAATAACCATTTCTACCAACTACTAGTCATGGTAATAGTAACAGCTGTGAGCTCAGTAATCTGAGGATTAACGAAGCTCAAACTTGAACTTCACATCGTATTGCTGTACCACTTCTTGACTTAACAATGCTTCTGATGAAAACTCAGTCTCTATCATATAGCTTTCAGGTTTGAACTTGCTCTATTCTAACTAGCTCTGTTGGTTCCTAACTCCGTGTTACCTCTCTTACAGGTGCATTATCTCATGGTCTTGTCTGCCAACTGGGCCTATGTGAAAGATGCTTGCAGAATGCAAAAATATGAGGATATTAAATCAAAGGAGGAGCAAGAGCTTCATGATATTCATTCTACTCGCTCTAAAGAACGACTCAATGCTTACACATAAAAGAAACCTTGTCTTACTTTCTAACATGTGAATGCTTTGTTGTTTAACTAAAGGCCATCCAACCATTTTAAAAACAATTGAAAGTGCTTCTCACAAAAGATAGTTTGGGTGACTTACATATCACCTATGTACAATTCTTGGTTGTCTAGCACTTGGTTCCTTAATTAGTTCTTACTTTGTGTGACCAATCTCTATCACAAAGCTCCCAAATAGCCTTTCCTGAATCCTTTTAAGCTAATTAGTTCTGCTAGATCAAGGATACTAAACTATTGTCAAATACAAATATGTGTTTGATTTTTTTAATCACTTTGTATGTGTTATGCATAACACCTTTTGCATTGTTTCTTATATGTTTTTGGAAAAAGGTAGCTTTTTATACTTTTTAGTTTTGAGTTCAATAACTACTTTAACTACAGGTATACTTCAAAGGGACCATTGTACATGATGTACAATATATAAAGAAAACACGGATGACTTTCCTTTATATTTGGAAAACTTGCCAGATGGACCTTGATCAACTTGAAAGAAGGTCCTAAGAACGTTTTAAACAATCAAAGGTGCAATTTCTAAATTTGTAATAGTGGGTAAAAAAAAAAAAAAAGAAAAAAAAAGAGGAAAAAAAATGAATAAAAAAAAGAAAAAAGTGCTTCTTATCTTTGTTAACATTGTATTATTATTGATGTTTTTAAAGAATATTCTCTTGTTCCAAGTCCCATTGGTGATAATTCCTGTTTGTATTGTGAGCATGCAGACCGTGGTGCTAACAATGCATGGCCACTTGCCTTTTGAAGGAATTCAATACCACGGCTACCTGTTAAAGAGTTATGGTATATAGACAATTGTTAATTAAGTGATATAGTTATCCATAGTTTTTTACAGAATGACTTGTCTTTAATTCAATGAAGGTTATGCTAAATTGGAGCTGTTCATGTGATGATGTAAGAAATTAATGCTTAGCTACATTTATGAAAGTAATATATCAAAAATACAGTGACCATAGGAGTCAGATGTCTTTTTACCTGCTTTAAAAATTTATATGGATTGCACCTGTCTGAACTGTAAAAGATATATTAAAGGAGACTTCCATAAATGTTATAGCTTGGCTTCTAGCTTTCCTACACATATTTGTTTACCTGTATTACGTTAAAGTAAGGTAAAAGACCACTACAGAGCTTATTATTTGAAAGTGTCCTAATATATTTGTACCTTTATTTTGATAGGAAAATGTTATCAGAAAGATAGGTCTTCTTAATTTGAAATAATTACCTGTATCAAAAACAGAACAAAAAACCCTATTTAAGAAAAGTCAGTATTACTGGACCAAATTTGGTGGATTTTTTTTTCTTTTTTTTGCCTATTTCTAATGCTACAAGAATGCTGTAAAGTGTCTTTTAAAGTGATGTAGCCTGACAAGACATTTTTGTCAGTGTTAAAAATCTTAGGTAGTTTTGTGCACTTATTGGACCATTGTGAATTCTCTCAGTGTAAGTGCATTTCTAATAAAACTTCTTGAGTAAAACTCTTATTTGTACTATTACTAGTCATGCATCATCAGTAATTTTTAACAACTCTTGTAGTAAGTAGAGGGTAATACTATAGTTACTTGTGGCATGATAATGCATTAAGTAGTATTAGTTGATTGAATTATTTTCTTTTCTTTTGTTTGTTTTGGGGGTTTTTTGGTTGTGTTTTTGATTTGGGGTTTTGCTTTTTTTCTTTTTACACTTAGGCTGTCCTACGCAGTCAACAGTTTTCTGATAATGTGCAGTACCGGTATTACAGTCCTGCAAAAAGTATTAGGAACCTCTTCTGGATTCTATAGTGTAGTGTTTCAGTTTTGTGTCTTAAAACGTTTGTGCTGATTTTTAAAACTATGTCTTTTAAACTTATGTAATGATGTTAATGCTTTTGGCTCTTCTCTGGTATTAGAGTTTGTATTTTCACAAAGAATGCTTTGTAGCAGGCATTACAATTAATCTGTTTTGTACATAAATGTGCCAACAGCTTGATGGTGGCGTTTTTGAAATGTAGAACAAAGTGCTTGCAAAAATGTAATAAACACACTTGTGTACTTTGTGTACTTATTAATTGTTCATGCTGTGTACCTTGTTTTTGGGGGATTTTTGGGGTTTTTTTTTTCCTATACTGGACAAATCATTGTAACCAGAAATGCTAGTTCCTTCTATTGTCTTCAATATTGGAGGACTATTCTCAGTACAGACCTACTTTTTCTTGGTAAAATTTACTTTTAGATGTTTAAGGAGATAGTTCCCTTAGCAGAAATTATGAGAACAAAGAGTAAAATTTAAAAAATAATAATCTGGGAATGTTAAATTAATTAGAGAATATGTCTTTGTCAAATCTGTGACAAAATATTCTTATTGCAAAGAATAAATAAATAAAAAATCCAAACTCCTAAGAGTGATATTCTTATGCCCTTTCATGATACAGTTCCCTCCAGCCTGTAACTTCACAAATCACACATAGGTAAAAGTACCGCGTGCAGCCTTCCCATGGTTAGAAATTGTGCCTCAGTTTTGGGTAGTTTGTTCCACTGAATTAAAACTCCTGGTCCCTGCTGATGCACAAATTACTTAAAATATGTCTTATAATCAGCATTTAATATAAAAAAAATATATAACCTAAGATTAAGAGAGTAAAATAACTTCTAAGAGCAGAATCTCGTAGTCTAGGAAGAGCAAGAAAACATGAGCAAGAATTGTTGTATTTTTACCATGTCAGTCAAGAGAACAACTGGGCAAGATTTGCATTACTACGTGTCATTTGGAACAGCTCAACAGAGGCTGGTCTGACATCGGTTTGAACATTGCTGAGGATACTGATACCTGGATGTTACAGTAGCTAATATTTTAATACCTTGCTGACAATAATGCATAATTTATGTGCATGTAAATCACTTTAAATATTTAAGAGAAATCTATAGCTGTGCCAACTAACATGATACCACTAAAGACAATTAATTAAAATACAGTTCTACAATGTGTTTGTTTCTCAGTTAACTAGCTGTTATGTAGCTCTTTGTGTGCTCTTGATGAGAACACGTGCCATAACGGAAAACAATGTTTCAGCAGCAGCACAAGCCAAGGGAGTAGAGGAGCTTCCCGCAGCACAACACATCAGTCGTAACTAATTCACTTCAAAGACTGCACATATTTGCTTTATTCCAGACTCTTCTCTGTTTGTAGACAGCCTAAGCTGATTTATCCTGAGGTAGGTTGTATGGATTGTGATTCCTATAGACTATTCTGTGCTTAGTCTATTGTGACTATTGTTCTTTTCAGAAACAAGAAAGCAAACTGCAGATCAGTGTTTGATGTGATTTTGTTGTTTTGGGTTTTTTGGGGGGTTTTTTCTGTGCAAAAGAGTGTAGTTGAATGAAAATTCCAATTTAAGACATTTCCACGCTTAGATCCTCAGTTTTGCATTTTCTTCACAGTTTAATAAGTCCCATCAATAGTGATAATAACGTGTTACAAAATAGATCCAAAAATTGCTTGAGTTAGAAATCCTTCCCACCCGTTATCCCCTACCCACGTCACCTCATTTTTTTTTCCATAAGGTTATTTCATCCCTCAGCAGGGTCTTATCCGCATTTCTATTTTTCAGCAAAACCACACAGAGCCCAACACAACCACATAAACCATTCAATGAGCATGATTTAGGCAATAGTGAAGTGCACTTCAGATGTGGGGATGAGTATTCGCAGCAGGGGTGGAAAGAAAAGGAATTTTTAAGACAACCTCATTCTTGAGGCCAAAGTATCATATGGTTGGGTGGTATAGTTGCAGAATAGCAGAAAGCACTGAAATGATTGCTAATTTCATGTTTCTAAATAGTTAATGATATTATTATTTTTGTCACAGGAGCTAAAATAAAATAATTTCTGCTATAATTGGAAATATATATAAAAATTAATTGTTTTAGTAAGATATGTGATTATCAATCTTAACTTAGTGCAATTATTTAAATTGCAATATGTATGCATTGATCATAAGTATTTGTTGAACATGACCATGGTTGCAATTCACCTGCAGTTGGTATAATAGATTTAAGGACATAACATTTCTGTACTGTATTTCCTATAATAAACAATGGCAAAAGTTTATAGAGTTCTTTCCATCATTAAGATCCCATGCATTTTTCAATTATTCTGTTCTGGGTTGCTACAAGTATTAATACAGTTGTTTTTCTGAAAAACTCAGCTCAATTCAGCTAAGCCATAAAAGAGCAGACTATAATGCATTTCATTGCAGGAGGGGAAAAGTGATTACACAAGCTCTCTCTTTAAAAAAAAAAAGTAACATTTTATTTCCATTTGGTTGCACAGAAACCCTGCAAATAGCTATTGTTAGGGAGCAAACTAATTTATGTCTCCAGGTGATACCAGATTTCAGCACTGCCTTTATTTTAGGTAGATATCAATTGAAGAGAACAAGCTCAAAACACTTAATACATGTAACAGCTCTTTCTGTCCCACATGAATTCTTCTGACTTGTGTTTTTTACAAGGGATGAACTCCAGCAGTTTCTGTATTTTGAGATTTTCAAATATAGTTTCTTGTTCTTTCAGATACCTGCAGAGGATCCCAACACTTCAGAGGGTTACTTCTGTATTTAACAGTTATTAGCAATGTTGGCAACAGGTAAGTGTTTCTGTTAGTACAGTGAAAGAACTGGTTACTAGTAAAAAAGTGGATTATCTTCAATTTACAGTAGTCTGAGCAATAGCCAGGAGACTTGCAGCTATTCTGCAAGTAGAAATTTGTCCTGAGAAAATGGTTCTGTCCACACAGTACAAACTGCTGTGGACTCTTCCCCCATCTCAGGTGGAGTCTGGCCAGATAAATGCAAGATCCAGGGAAGATCATTTTAGCTGCTCTTTGAATTGGCAGTTCTGATTTGCCTGCTTTTCCTTTTGCTGAAAGGAATGCTTTGAGGACAGGTAGATCTCTGGAAGTGGTGAGGTAACGTCAAACATAAGCTCTTTCCAGAGCAGCTGCCACCACTATAACAATAACAAGGCAACAACTGAATTTTTGCCACTGAATCCCATTCATACTAAAAAAGAAAGACTTGAAAAAATTAGGAAGAAGCTTGCATAAATATACTTTGGTTCTGCATGTTGAGTTACTCAGGCCAAAAATGCTGCATAGGCCAGAAAAGTGATGAAAAGAGCTGGGTTTTCCAGAGTATCACTCCAAATATTTTCTTTTTTTCTTCTCAGCGCTCCAGGAAAAATGATACTTATGTCTGAATTGTTTTCCTACAGTTAACTGAGAAATTTTTGATCTCCGAGTCTGTAAGCCTTGTATTTTTTCTAAGGGCTTTACTCACCTATATTTTTTCTTAAGGATAAATATTAATTTAAGAACAAATTTCATTGGGGAACAAATCTATCCTCAACAAGTTCATGTCGCAGTTAAAGCATACAAATAAAGTCCTGGAATTTTATAATTTATCCAGTTTAGTTTGCACAAAAAATCATATCCTCACAAATTCAGTGTTTTGGAGTAATAAAATTAATCACATAGTTAGACACAGCAGCAAATCATCAGGTTCCTCAGGTGATTATGCTGATCAAGCTTTGAGCTGATCAAGCAGACTGAAGCCTTTCTCATTGTACACCTCATGTTGATGCCATCTTTTTACATTGTGAAATATGAAATAACGTTAGGGAGGAATACCTCACTAATGTAATTAATATCTGTGTATTCCTTTCATGATTTGCTTTTTCTCCTTGACATGTTGTTCCTTATGCCATAATATTAAGTGGAACTGAAGTAACATAAAATTTGCTGCTACTGAGAAGGGGAGATCTCACCAGCGCAACTGAGTGGTGTACCACATGGCTGGAAATACAGATGAAGACAGTGAAAAAGAGCAAGAAAGGCACAAAGAAAAGTAAGATTTTCCTTTCCTAGTAAACTCTAGTTGCAGGCGAATAAGCTGGGCTCAGGATCTATACCTCTAATTATATACAAGTAAGCCTCATAGGACTCATGGGTTCAAGGAGTAGAGAGAGCTTCTGACACGGTACAGAGGGCAAATAGTACCTGGAAAATCTTGATTTTGGGCAGTCCCAGGGCATGTTTCTCCTTAAAGGAGCAGATGGGAGAGAGAAACCTGTAGCTGCAAGTTGCCTTTAATTGTCACAACAGGACCATGTCGCTGGTGGTCTGGCCATGTCCTCTTAACTTCCCTTCCCAGCATGAGTAATATGATGGCAAAGCAGATATGTCACATAAGTAGCTGCATGGAACACTCAGATAGAGTTTGTGTTATTTAAAGCAGCTCAGGGAATGATGCAGACAAGGACCACCACTGCAGGCATAATCCTGGCCTCACTGAAGCCAGGCAGTATTTCACTAACAGAAGAGAACAAAGTCAGGATTTGAGGTTGAGCAGTCTGGAAAATTTGGTGTTTGCATCCTTTGGTTAAAACCAAGTAAGACACATTAGGATTGTCTCTGATATAATATTTAATAAGTGATTTCAATTTTCATATATTTTAAATACACACAAACACAATATCTAGTCTTGATAAAACAGGTTTTTTAATATACAATTAGTCAGTGCTCTGGTGCCTGAAATTGTACTATTCCAGTTATAGAAGAAAAGTCAGTTGAGATGCTGCAGACGCTTATGGTATTCTGATCTCCTGTGGGCCTGTAAGACCATTATCTTTATTCAACAGTTTTTTTGAGAATCTACAGTAAAAAAAACCCAATTAATAGTTACCTGGATAAATCAAAAACAGCTGAGAAGACACAGCATAACTTTTATAAATGGAAGTCTATTTTTAGATTAATCAGCCATAAGAAAGGCCTTGTATGGGTAAATAAATGGTTAGCAGAAAAGACAGTTCTTATACTGGAGTAACATCATTTTTGGTCTCTGGGTTCTAGACTAGCTCATCTTTAGATGGTGAGCAGCAGCCAGTTTCCTCACTGAAGAGCTGCCACTTCTGTTGCCACAGTACTTCTCATTAGCTAGTTGGCATAATTTATATTGAATACAACCATATGCATCCCCTCCTCTTCAGAAGTTTGTAACAGC